ATGTGACGTAATCATTGGTGCATTGTCTGTGTGTACTAGGAATCATGGCCTTGGACTTTTCAATCACAATCAATTGAGCAGCATAATAGGTGTTCTCGATCGCTGCTTTCAATCTCTGTCTTAAAACTATGCTATTAGATTCACCTCTATATGGTAGATTGATGTAAACTTTTTTCTTTGGGACCGAATAAACAAGAGGTCTTGGTATTAACTGACTTTTGCACCTATTAATAAACTTTAATGGATAACCATTTGCTATTAATTTGTCAATCAGTAACTTTTCATCTTTTTCCACCGAGCCAGATGTACAAATCCTTTGAGTTCTTTTAAACAGACACTTAACCAAGCCTCGCTTGTATTACAATGAACAAAATCTATGGAAATTTAAGTATTGTCCAGGTAGGTTTCCTATACACTGACCGTCTAATTTTCAGGTTTCGGATATTTACTTCTGAGTAATTCCTATATTTGACTTTCTTGCTTTGATTTGAGAGTGTACTCTTCTCATGCTTTCCATATACTTTAGGTAGAACACGAATTATACAGTGATCCGAGCTAGACAATGGAGCACGTTTACGAGTCACATATATACCTACATCATTAATGAAAACGAAGTCTAAATGAGCATCCGACCGAGTAGGAAAATCTACTATATTTTGGTGACCTAGCGATGTAAGGAAGCTACAGTCACATGAATTGAAATCACCACATACAACTGAAAGTGAATCACTGAAGGCAGTAACAGCGAACTCAGTGAATTCATCAGCGAAGACAGATAGCGCAGATGATGTGCAGTCTGGGGTCACATAGATATTGGTAACATAAACATATTTGTATTTATTTAGATGTTTTGGACGGCATCTTAGAGTTAGACAGTCGATAAAGTCATTTGAAAACTTGAAACACGCAAACGTAGATCGACACTAGTTCACGTTTACAAAAGTAGTTACACCGCCGCCACACCTCTTTTATCGTTTGGTCGATCCTGACGATAAATTTTGAAATAATGTAGGGATACTAGGCAGTCGTCCTGTAAATCGTTTAACCAAGATTCTTGAATTGTGATGACACCACAATTACGACACATATTTTGACTTAGTAGGGATTGAAGATAGTCTATCTTGTTAATTAATGATCGGCAGTTAGAATTGAGCAATTCGGGAATCCACATACGATTAATGTTCATTCTCTTCAACGCATATTGCCAACCACCACGATGTCTTTTATTGAAGGTTTTTGTAACTTGTGCAGCGAAAGGTCGTAGGCTTTTCATCAACTCGCCTGTATAGGTTATGCGATTAATGGACATAATGAGAGGTTAAAACAAAATGAAAAAACAGATAACTTGTTGAAATAACTAGATGGCAGAAACAAGTAGCCCAGATATTCAAGCAGGCCGCTTAAGGTCTTTTCGTAACTACTGAAGTCGGGTGTTTTATTGTTGTTACGTACAGTAATATGCAAACCTCTGTTTTTGTTTGTGTTCAGTGTCCATCACCTGTCAAGCCTTAAAAAAGACACTTTTTCTAGAGATCAGTTCTCGCTGTTGTTCTTCCTGTGAGATCACGAAACAAATTTGTGTGTGTGCATCGAACTCACACCGGCTGCATATAGAAGGGAGTCGCAGATGCATGCGCACTTCAGGCAGACTTAAATATTTTGATTAGCTGGTCTAAGGAGTGGCTGATGCCTATCCACTTTTCTGGTCATAGATCATTTTTATCTCTCAGTACTATTGTATCCAGTACCTTTTTTAAAAAGACCTCCGTTTGATGACTGGACAGTGCAACAGAAGCCATTGCCAACGTCCGGGCTGTCGATACCCCGTTGAAAACGGCATGCAGTGCGATGAGTGCAAAGGCTGGTACAACGAGTTGTGAGGCGTCGACAGAGAATGATGCCGAAACCACTCTGGGTGAGGCACGAAGCCATCTAGATAGGCTCTGGATCCGTTACACTGATGCTCAAAGCTTGCTCAATAAGCGATCGGAACTATGTGTACAGATTGACTCTACAATGCCAGACATAATCGCAGTCACAGAAACTCGGCTGACGCAGTCTATGGATAGTATGGAACTTGATTTAGAAGATGTTACGTTAGTAGGTGCCGACAGAATACAAAAGCGTAAAGATGGGAGAGTAGCTCTATTCATTAGGAATGCCATCCCATTTGCCATTATCGACAGTGTATCCCATGAGAGTGGGACGTGTGAATTAAGTAGTTGCCGTTTGAAATGCAAGGGACAAGAGCTGCTGATTGGTTTGATCTATCGCAGTCCTAGCTGTGAGGTAAATGAGGTCCTGCTAAGCAGTCTCAATACTTGGTCACAAAGTGGTCGATGTCTCAAGCCAAGTATCTTATGACTACGGAGAGTAAGACCTTATGTAGAAAACACTGGGACTTACCAACATTTCCGCTTCTCAAACCTAGTGTGAAACCAAACTCCCTCAATACAACCAGGTCCCTCGACACATTAGATAGTCTTTTCATCTCTTCTTTTCCTTCTACACATATTTCATTTCTAAACATCTAACATCTATAACTATAAACACAAAAGTAATTTATCCTACGTTACACTTAAACAAATTAACTCAGCTTCGTTTTATCATCACCACATCTATATAACACACAGAAATTTACATCTTTTATTATCCTTCTCACTTGATTGTGACTTCCATAGCACCATTCTAAATTATTATTGCACAAATGTTTATACTAATATCCAGTTTTACTCTGTATTCTACTACTACTACTACTACCACTACTACAATAATCTACATTTATTCATCCAAGTGCACACAATTATTATCATGGTGGAACCCTTTCACTAGGTGATCCTTCCTAACTATGACTGCACAAACGCTTATTCTGACGTCATGTCTTGCTGCGATAATAAGTTACTTCTCTTATTTTTATTCTATTTTTGTCACTAATCTCGCGATACATGCATAGTCGTTTATCATTCTTCTGTGTTCGTTAACACGCTCATTAAACCATTTGCGTATTTCACGTCTCCTTTATATCTGTTCCCTTATTTTCTCCCTTTCCTTCTTTAAAGTCAACTCGATATTCTTCTCAATTACACAGAACCTGATTTATTATTATTCTATTGTCACTATTATCTTCTTTTTCTCTATTCGAATATAGCGAATATAATGCTAGCATTATTTAAACTCGTGTATTATTGCACTCTTGAAGAAACCCGAAATGGTTTGTTCACAACACTTATGTACCCAGTAGATGTTTGTGAATAGTAATAGTGATAGTAAGAATAATGATAATAATAATAATCATAGTAGTTAACACCAGTATTGTAGACAACTCTGATACCATTTTTGAACAATTCATCCGCCATTTCTCGCGAGGCTGCAACACGAAATGTGAAACCTTTATCATTAGGCTTCTAAAGTTGACATCTCAACATCTATCCACAGTTGATTTAACATCCACCAACATCAAGCAGGCCGTAACCACCATGAAAAGTCTTATGGCGGTGGATCTGATACCATTTCTGCATCATTCGTGAAATACGATAGTACAGAATTCCCAGCATTCCGTGTAAATGTCTTCAACCTACCTATGAACTATGGGGTTTATACATATGTATGGAAAACATCGCTTATCACCCATGGATCCAAAACGGGAATATGTAGCGATATCGCCCACTATATGCCCGTTAACTTGTGATCTATGCTATCAAGGATCATGGAAAAATTCATCCGCAAACAGTTATTTTCATTTTTACTTCCGGCTAGCCTATTTAGCAAATACCAGCGCTTCGACTTGTATCTTGTCAGGTACTGCTGCTTCCTCACTCTTCATTAATCTGATGACCATCTAGATTTCTTCGATCGTTTGGCTTCCAGAATGGATTGGTAATCTGGAAGGAAATAGACAGAGTGTAGACATCTGGATGGCTGTTGGAATTTGTCGTTATTCGAGGGTTTATTGTTTGGATTTGTAGTCATTGTTCATGGAGAATTTCTCATTGTCTATTGTTAGAGGCAAAATCTAAGAAAATGGTTAATTTGGCTGGCGAAGCTTGCTCACATCACTCACCTCCATCTAAGATTCTTGGTTCTATTGTAACTTAACCCTTTCTATATGTATTCGCCTTGTATTACCCGATTCCTAAGTAATTTTAGGTCTAATTTGAAGTGATCAACCACAAATCGATCACTTTTCTACTCAAAAACATATCACATATACTTAAATATTATTATTCAAACTGTTACATTGACTTTTAGAATGTAATTTCTTAATATATAGAAAGAATCTCGTCACACGATTTCAACGGATTAGATTGACATTTTATGGTTTCTGATAATTTGCACTTGTTCGCATTTAGGACATTACTTAATGTTGTCAGTTTGAAAGGAAATACACTACAACTTCGTATTCGTAGAGAATAACAGTTCTGTATAAGTGCAAGGAAAATATGTCTGATCCACATGGTTAGTTCTGAACATCCCGATAGACTAGGTCATGTGTCGAGAGCCTACTACATAGTGATGAGCCTTATAAAACTGTAATTAAAATGAAAAACTCAGTTGTGAACTTCAAAAGACTGAATGAATTGATAAGATCATGCTGAACGGATGCGACTCAATAGCATAAATATACAGCAAATGTAATTGCTCCTACAATCTCCTGTTTCACTGAGATTCAACAATATAACGCATGGTTATTGATTACGAAAGATTGGTAAACAGCAAAAATACAACTTATTACATGTATTCCTAGAGATTTAGATGAAAATGCCTACATTATTCAAGCATATTTGTTCATAAACACGGTAAACTATCAAATAGAATTGTTAAGACTCTGTAGCAATATGATTACAAGTATAAAGATGTTCGATGTGTAAATACCTCCAACCACTGCTTAACATTCCAACACAGTGCATGCGTTGTCGACTCACCTAAACTAGTGGCTACAATGCTACTTGATCAACAATTATAGAACTAAACAAACATGGGATTGATCGCTTCTCAGAGATCTTACCACAAACCACTAAACTACAATGATAATATCTAATTAGCAGTCCAGCAATTTTTTAGCTATTATTATTATTATTATATGCTTTATTCAACATTATATTTGTGGTACACTATTGAATTCTCAGCATAAAGTATTTTAACAAGTTTCTTTTGCTTATATCTTGATCGATCCTGACGATAAATATTGAGTGCTGGCCAATTAGATGTTAGGAGTTCGATAATCGACATCTGAATAATGTTCATTCGTTTCAAAGCATATTACAAGCCACCATGATGTCTCTGGTTGTACCTTTTTGTAATCCGTACAGCGAAAGGTTGTAAACTTTTCGTAAACGCGCACGAAAACGGATAACTTGACGAAATATCTAGATGGGAGGGAACAGGTAGCCCAGATATTCAAGCAGGCCGCCGATTAGCTTATACAAATAATAGAAATTACAACTCCTTCATTATACGGTATAACACAATACATGTTACGTATTACGGCAATTTACCAAAATATGACGAAACTGTATTCACACGAAGATTACCTAATCAACTGCTCAAGCTTGATCTCTAATCCTTCATTCTGCAAACAATTAAAAATCAGTAATTATTGATATTTTCAGATCGCTTGGTATAAAACATAAAACATTATTATAAGGACTACGGCAACATCAACTGGAGCGAACATGCCATTTTAATAACCTTATTCATCGCTAATGATTCGGTGTGTAAACCCATTACGAAAACACCAATCTTATGCTAAATGCACACATGACGAGTCGAATAGACATATGTCTTATAAATAATATGCATACACAAATTCATCAGGAAAGCAAGTGAAAAGACAAACTACAAGTATGTTTATAAGTATGTATTTTATTTTATCGAGAAATTCATTTGCCATAAATAAGAAAATTAACACAGGTTTGCAGAAAAATAAAATAGTAACATCAAATCATGAAGAATAGGAAGAAAGTAGAGACATATCATAATGGCTATTGACAAAAAGAATTCACAGTAAATAATCAGAAAGACCAGAACTAAAAATAATACATCAAGCGAAATATTGTACAGAGAAATAGAGAATAGTGATAGAAAGAGGAAGAAAATACAAAGATACTTACAATAACCAACAATGTAATAGCATTAGATGTACAAAAAAGAAATAAGTCAAGAATATAAACATTGCTTTAGGTCTAGGTTGACTTCGCAGACGAAATGAAGTAAATCTTATACCACTAGACATTCCGGGTGTTAGTTGTTGACTACGTACAACCAACTGCTTCAATAAAACAGATAGCCAATCCTTTAGGTTAACTACAACAATAAGGATAATAAAAATAAAATGGTATTATTGAGTAAAGAAAATAACTTTTAGTTCTATTCAAAGTTACATGAGACGCACAATCCTGAAAAGAGAATAAACTTAAATACTAAAAAAGGCAGCTAAACATTCAATATAACCGGTAGTACGATCAATGTTATGGACGGCTGCAAGATTCCTGAAACGTTCAATATCACAAATTCTATTTCAGTAAACGTGTAGTGTCTGTTATTATGTTAAGCCCATATACCTTATTCTAGCTTTCGGACAGCCCAATCTATTCATTCTACTTGAGTCATATTTTGACCTTGTTAATTATTCGCTTATCAACCTTGACTGTTTTTATATGAGCGCGTAGGTGTGTGTACACTTCTTATCCCATTACTCATCACATGTCTGTAACTTAGTTTTGTGGAACTATAATTATTGATTAACGCTTGACTAAAGGGGAGTTGGCTTACCCGCCATCTCCACTGCGCGTCGTTTTGCTTCGTTCTATTCCATTCGCTTCATATACAAAATATATGTATCCGAAAGTCCATTCCCGTTATTTGACTTATTTAATTCCGTTATTGACTAACGCGATTTAAGTCAATGATTATATACGAGGATAGGCGACATATACAATTCAATAACAACCATTCATGCGATCTATTTGGAGTCAGATCCACGGGCCACTAAAGTGGAGGGCCCTTCGACAACATCGTCCAATCTAAATGACGACAAAATAAAGGGGCCCACAAAAAACGTAACACATCGAAGTACCATGTTTTTACACTACACTAGTAATATAAATGCTTCAGTGAACTAAGACCCTGAAAGTGAACAATTTTTATCACCTACTGACTGGGTCAATGAGTCAATTGATCTTGAAACTTTTCTGACAGTCTCAACATAATAATGATAATATAATAGTACACTCAACATAAAAGTCATACACAACATACAAAAATTAATCTATATTCTTTGCTCGTAATACAACTGTTATATAAATTACATTTATTCAGTTAAAAGCAAGTTCGCACAAGAAGAATACGTTATACAGTAAGCATAATACAAAATCTTACTTAATTGATGTAACGACTTAAATCTGATGGGAACAGAACGTAGAAATGATTCTGTAGGTTCAAAAGATTGAACAACACCTCTCAAATTAACAACTGCTGATTCGCCTGTATAATTATTGTTTGGTTCATGTATTTTAATAAATATTTCCGATGTCCTAGACAGAAATAACAAGCAAGAAAATATTCATATGATCTACACCATAATACACGTATTGCAAGTATCATTAACGAGGTTCGACTTGATCATTTCAAATAAATTGAGCATGGGGTAGATTGTTAGAAATAAAAATAACATGTTTATAATATCCCAATGAGTAGAGGAATTAGATTTTCTGACGTTTCGTGACTCAGTGCAAGCCACTTCTTCAGAGACGTGGCTTCGACTCACATTTCTAGTGTAAGCACTAGTGACACGATTCGAGTCCAAGAGTTCAATGTATTAAATAAAAAGCCATTGAGTTATATACAATAATATACACGTAGTACAGATGTGTAAATGTACTGGAAGCTAACATCTTACTAAACTTTTAAACTTGCTCCTGAAATTCACGAATCACGAATATCCATTGGAAATCTTAAGACTGGCTTAAGTGAAGTAGAATAAATTAAGAAAACAGGTACAGGATAATCGGATATTTAGTAATTTAATAGTTGAATTCATCAGTCAATTAAAGCTACACCACCTTGGAAAACCTGGAAGCACTGGACGGTCGTTTCGTCCTAGTATGGGACTCCTCAGCAGTGCGCATCCACGATCCCACTCTCAGGATTCGAACTCACGACATTTGCTATTTGGAGAAAATCAGAGTAAATGTTCTTGGACCTGTGTAGTCGATCATAACTTATGCCATTCAAGAAGTTCATAATCATCAACTACTATCGACCAATAGATTATAATCTAGGTTTCATAGCTTGATGAATCCCTTAAACAAGTAACCCAGTGATAATTCCACATGAAACTCTTACTTCAATTTACCAAACGTGGTGCATAGAGGAAGAGAATGTCTAGGTGTGTACGAAATGTCCAAAAACACCTTAATTCAAGTGGATTAACAAGGGATTTTCGTTCATCACTTATCAGTTCAACATAGTAGTAAGTGAGAAGTTGAAATACAAGTCAAATATAAACATAACTAATGAAGTTATCAGGCGGCATTTTTTAAACAGGAAACTATTCTTAGAAGTTTGTGTTTGTCAAACTTTGTCTGGAAATCTTCTAGAATTTTATCCAAAGAAATAGTATAGTATAGTATATTCATTGGACTAAATGGTGAACGCAAAAAAATCTAAATAACCATAAGATATAACAAAGGGTGCTTCTTCATAAAATAACCATATGATTAGAACTTACGGTACTTCAGGTCCAACAGAATATGATGTCACAGGCTTTTGAGATGTTGGACAATATTTCCCAAGAAGTATTTGACTTCTACGAAGTTCCTGTGTACGCTCATACAAAGAGTCTTCAAGTAACGCGACCTGAGTAAAATATATGTACAATAATGTTAAGTTGTTTCATTATGTCAACCAATAAAATCAAATGCTTCAAAGAAAAATCCTTTTAACAAAACGTAACTAACCTGTTCATCCAATCCTTCAATGGTTGCTTTTAAATGTGCACGTTCTACAGTTGCATGACATAAGCGTTCTTTTAAAGTAAGAAACTCTGCATTACTTGCCTTCAACTGATCCATAGCCATAATCGCTTCCTCCTCAGCTACTTTTATTCGCTGTAACAACTGAGAATGTAACGAATCTTCATTAACACTTTGGCTCGGGTTAACCAAGTTATCATGCTTTAATTCACCAATTGAATGAAGCATTGAATTTCGATAACTATTTATTGCGGCTTCATTGTCGTTTTCCATTAATGATACTGGTGTCGATTTATTGGATACATGAAGGTTATTTAACTGAACCTCACTTAGGTTGCTTGGTTCGTTTACACTACCATGTTTTAAACTTCCATCAACCAAAATTACACCAGATGAAGAAGTTTCGCATGAAGTTATGTCATTGCCTACCACCAGTCAAAACAGATAAGAACAAAAACTATAATAACTATAAGATAACTATGTACAAAGCAAAGATCAATTAATTTCCAGTGAAACAGTTCATCTGAGAAATCTCATCATACCACCTAAATATGAAAGGTAGCACAACAATAGATTAATTATCCTTAAAAATATTCTTAAAACTCTGATGCCTAACCCAAATACTACTTCGTTAGTTGTAGCTAACGAGAAGTCAGGTGGGAAAGACCAATTTATTGTTGAATGCAAAAATTACAGAGTATCTTCGTAAAATATGAAAACCATACATTAAATATTTCATTTGCACATCTTCCATCAGTTTTCTCTTACAAACTTCACCGTTCCTTTATTCCAGTCCTTATCACAATTACTCTCTTTATATTCTTGTTCTCTTCAATTCGATCTTCCCAATCTTACGCTGACAGGCATTCTGTTATATCCTAGTGAGGATATATATATATATATATATTCCTATTGTATAACTGTTCAGTAACTAGATTATGTATATCTATATTCCTCTTATTACAAGCTTCATTTAGGCCTATAGATTATGATTAAACGATTTACTGTTCTAAAGTTATGTTCAGTTAATCGATTACAGCCTCCCACGTTCACAGCCACTTTTTAGCTTCAACTTGTATAAACGTTATTTCCTATTTTATAGTGTGATGCGGTCTGTTTGGCTGGTATATAAACCAAGTATGTTCGAAATAAATGATTCACATAGTGGAAGCATCTTATTGGCTTTCTGCAATCAACTGGACGGGCTAGAAGAACAAAGGACCAATAAGGACGCTAGGCTGCTCATACCGGTCGAACGTCATTGGTTTAGCAGTGATAAGATTAAATAAGTCGTATTTCGATTGGCGAATAAATCCACCGGCTTCTGATACGTGTTACATACTACTTATATCTGTTGACGTAAGCAGCATACACCACAAGTACTCTGATTTCTTTCCTTTGTAAAGATAAATGCAAATAAATGATAACTGGAGTATAAACTTAATCTGAATACATATACGTGTAAATAGGCTCAAATCCAATACACCGCAGTTATCGACAGGGAAAATTACAACAAAATGTATAAATCAAACGATCATTGTCATCACTAAATTCTTATTGCCTACTAAATTCTCTAATTATGGGACATTCATATTCGTGATCAGGATGTTTCAGGTTGAGCAGACTGCAGAATTTAACAAAAGATATAGTCCGTAAAATGAAATAACAAAAACCAAATAACAGGAGGATTGAACGTCTAAAATTTACCTATGATGAATGGTTCCGTTTGAACATATTTACAATTTTCAACCGGGAGATGTGGTGAGATGTTATCGTATCCACCAATAGGGTCAATAGCTACATCAACCTTTTGGATAAAATCAGTTGCGGGAATATCATTCAACAAATCTGTTTGAACGAAACTGTTCATAAAGTGTGGCTTGTGTATTGCTTTCTTCTTAAAGGCACTGTCCTCACAAACAAAATTCTGATGATTTATTATATTCCCTTGATGATCGATTAAATCAGGAAACGGGTTCATTTTAGATTGTTTACGTTGTAAAACATCGTTGAGACGTTGAAGTTTTTGACAATTTGTACAGCTTGAGGAATCGGATGAGTTTGTATTCACCAAACTATTAAGTTTGCTTGAAGAAATGCTTTGTGGTATAAGGCGATTTAACTGCATCCGTAAAGCTCTTGCATTTGAATTTGCTTCAGCTAACTGACCCCGAAGTCTTGATGCCTCACGATCATCATCTTCTCTTTGACGTGCCATATCTAATCGCAATTGAGTAAGCTCATTTTGAGCAATAGATAATCTCAGTTTTAAATCGTCGATACTTAAAGTATCTACATCTTGCAGTTCATTATTTGTGTGTACATTTCTTAGTAAATTCTCAATCACAACTATGAAGTAAATGTAAAAATAATAATACTCACATTATTGAAAGTTTTACTTATTTACACTTATCTCTTATATCGGTATCATATACGAAGTAGAGAGATTGTAAATCGAATAATGAAATGAATGAAAACGGAGTCACACTTGACCAGGTTTGAATCCCACTACATCTATTTCCGTTTGGGCGAACGAGTATTATCATTAGTTCTTACACTTTGAGTATGGCTCATACCCAAGAACCTGGTGAATCAGTGGTCTAGTGGTTAAGTGCTCGCGCGCGAAACCAGTAGGTCCTGGGTTCGAATCTCGCAGGGGGCGAGGTCGTGGGTGCGCACTGCTGAGGAGTCCCATAATGGGACGAAACGGCTGAACAGTGCTCCCAGGTTTTCCATGGTGGTCTAACTTCAACTGACTCATGATCTTAATCATTGAAATTACTACAATCTCCACAAAACTCCTTCTGATTATATCATAATCACCAACAAACAGAATGATATAATGATATCAGAGCAATAAAACGGAAAACACTATTTATCAAACATACGGTAGTATGGAGTGATTAAAATGATTAAATTCTTTGTCTACCAGGAGGTAGCTTATTCATCATTTGATATTGAAAGGATTTTAGCATATTTAATAATTTGTGACTGATAAGATACCTACAGGATCGATTAAACTTAGTTCATCAGTATTTCAGACTGTCCTATGGAAATATAAAGCAAATAGTCGAGTACTTAATCAACTATGGTGTCAACGCTCTAGTTGCATAATATGAAAACCTAGGAGAGATGAAGCATAGTTTTGAAATTACATCTAAGGGAGAAATACATCATTCATAAAGATGATAATAATTGCTTTATTTCGTACCATACGTCTGAACTTCCAAGCGAATTCTCAGCTTAATCAGCCAATATATTTGTCCAAATAATTAAGATCAAAAGAGGTGATCGCATTAGCAAATACAAACTGTTGATAGATCATTTATTGAGTACTACAACGCATTGTTTGAAATACAAAATATTATCATCTCGTCGAATTTACATAATAATTGGTTTTTCAGAAATTACATATGGTTGTATTTAAATACATCTGCAACTGTATATCGAAACACAATTTCGTGAGTGTCTATAGTGCATGACTTAAAACCCAATACATGGAGTAACATATAGTTATTCAGTTTCTTTTATTCCTTGCTTTAACCCCTAAGTGTGTCACATCAACGCACTGGGACAGTTCCAGTAAGCAATAATTTCAAAATGCTCAAATAAAAAGAGTTAATAAAACGCGTGACGGAGGAATCATTAGTGTAAAAGAATAAACTTGACAAAATTATTACAAAAACACACAGAAGAATACAAGCTCTCTTATGAGTAAGACGACACAACTTAGATTACTTATCTGTCGGTAAGGAAACACTATAATAAACGTTTCATATCATTAAACTAACGATAAGAGATTAACACAATAAACTAACAATTGAAAAGCAAGAGACAGATAGGCGTGAGATCAAATCAGTCACTAGACACAAACAAATTACAACACATTTAAATCTTATAAAGCACAAACCTCGCATATTGTGGTCCAAAGAACTAGTGTTCACATTTGTTTTACTGAAGAATAATTTCAACTGTTCTAATAAAGCAGTTGCTTTAGCTAATTGATTACGTAAATGAGTAATCTCCATAGTAGTTCTACGTTTCTGTGCTTCATAATTTCTTTGATGATGACGAATAGTATCTACACTGGAATCCAGTTCAGTACCCATATGATCTAATCGTTCTTGTAATTTATCAATACGTGTTTTTTGATTTATACGGTGTTTTCTTAAACGATCCAGTTGACCAACTGCATTCAATAAAGCCTCTTGTAATTCACACTTCGTTGGTTCATCGGATTCAGAAAAACTAGAATGTCTCAGTGTGCGATTGAGAACATTCCTTGGATTAACCAGTCCATATTTTAATAACTAAAAATGAAATAGTGAGAAATGATTTATAAACTCAATGAATCAAAATATTTTATGAATAAAATGACAAATGTATACATAACGATTAAACATAAATTTGTCACCAATACGATGCATCCCATACTCAGGTGACATGAAGAATTTCGTAAGGGTGAACAGCGAATGACTCTGAATACATAACAACTTCTGGCAGTAGAGTTCTCTTGCATTAAACACTAGTTTTAGGAGCCAAAATTAAAGACATTAAACTAATGACTATCACTTCTCATCAGGAATAACCACATTGCTTCATAATACATTCCACGTGTTTCTGATCTCTGATGCATCTCTAATCCCAACCACTCGTCGTATTATTTTAAATCGAGGATTATTGTACTACCTCATCTTCACGTTCTGAGGACATCCGATTCAGATACAGATACACACGCTTCTTAGTCTGCAACGTGAGTCACATAATTAGGGGAGGCTAGGAAGTTGTAAATGCAAAACCGAATAGTGTACGCGAACCATGGATAGACATACATTTTCAAATTATCTGAGACATCTTGTTCACGGGATAACACGAGAGACTGAATAACTTTTCAGTGACTATGTGTTGATGTTACATTAGAACATATGTCTAAAACACTAGGATGTGGATTAAGTTGGGATAAAGTTGACAAAGTAACAGAAACTGGATCGCCACACTGGTTCAAATTATTTAATAATTGTACTAGTTGAAAATGATCTGTTGAAAGACAATTACATAACAGAGAAACAATTCGATTGCAAGCAGCTAATCGTAATTCTACATTTCCGACTGAAGTCAAGTCACCATTATTCATAGCCTCCAATTCAGACTCAAATGGCTGGCATAAACAAACAGTCATTTTACATGTTAACTGTATACCCAAACATTTACCGATTGCTCTCAACGTTTACATCAGACATGAAGATTAAATAAATCTAGTACAATAAATATTTGCTTAGCTCAACATTGTGACCGTTACCGCAATATCATCACATCAAGATCCTCAACCGACGGAATATCACAATATCGATTATATCATCTTGATTAAATTGAACACTATGGAAATGTTATAATTCTCTCTTATCACGACCCAGCTATTCCTATTGCTTAGTAATCTTGGACACCAATTCACCTATTCATGTAGCCTTCTCACTTAACTTGCCGGATGTCACCCTTAAAAAGAGATCGTTCAAAAGACTTACAAATTAGGTATGGATGGCACAAATTTCAATAAACAAGGTATTGGGTTTTCACATATTCAGCTAAAGTTTCAAGTGTTCCAATTAAATTAGTGAAATCAAAAAGAACCAGCGCATAAACAAAGAGGTTCTTACCGGCACAGTAAATCAACACCGAATGTGGTTAGTACTAGTTAATTACCAAAGCAAATTACTCCGTACACTGCAAACAACTCGATGTGCTCTGTGGTAGGAAATTACGGATTTCACAAACAGCATCCACACACTTGTACAATGAATTCATTGAGAAGCATCACAATCCGATATCAAACAATCGGGTGAAGTCAACACGAGTTGAAACTAAGATGAACAACAAAGGGGGCACAATAATAAAAGTAGTAACGATAGTGCGAATACAGTTTAGAAAAACAATGACAGGGTGTTCAGCAAGAAATCCTGAAAATCAAGATCTAATGGGAAATAACGAATGAATCCGTCTGTACCATTATCAGTTGTGATATACAACGTCCCCACTTGACGTTGCAAAATCAGATGATACATGACTCGACTAGTAGCTACGGATCCTTGATTCTGATTTCGTGTGTACTCACTGATTCATCTGGAACATACATGCTAAAAGTCTGTCAGCGACCAAGTTACGTTCACACATTAACTTATATATAAATACACGTATTCATTCACAACTGGATTTCCAATAACAAACAGCTAACCCTACTGTAAGACCGACATCTGCGCCAATTTATTTTTGTCACAGTGACTAATGTGTTAAGCGGCGACTATTGCTGAGACCGGTAGAGTAATGATAAACACCAGTAAAAAAAAACCAGAACACCCTAATAATAGTTCGGTACATACCTTCTCTGAATTGCCAGAATAACCAATACCAGTATGACAAGTGTCTTCGCATTTGCTGTTCCACTGATTGTGATTGAAATCGTCACCGAAAAATACGTCAGATGAAGAGCACATTGTCACTGTGTCAAAACGCCGAGAGAGCTGCCTTAGTTACGAGCCCGAAACAACCGCGCTGGAAATGCCAGTGCCCAATGTAGTTAGTAAAAACAAATGTTTTGAGACATATGTTGTCTTTGTGCTTTCGAAACGACGATCTATCATCAGTGTACGCGGAAATAATTTTTCGGAATGGGCTGCTAACTTTTTGAACATTGCACACTGTTTAAAAAGGGCAGTGGTATTTTCCCTCTGAGTATATTTTATAGTATTGACCGCTTAATCGGACATCGAGACTACTGTTGCTGCTTTGACTGAATTTATTTCAGTTAAAGTAAGAAAATAGGTCAGTGCTATTGTTTTCCTCGTTTTGTATATCTTTGTATGTTGTTTGTATTCAAAGGTGTTAAGGTCTTTTCGTAACTACTGAAGTCGGGTGTTTTATTGTTGTTACGTACAGTAATATGCAAACCTCTGTTTTTGTTTGTGTTCAGTGTCCATCACCTGTCAAGCCTTAAAAAAGACACTTTTTCTAGAGATCAGTTCTCGCTGTTGTTCTTCCTGTGAGATCACGAAACAAATTTATGGTGCAGGTTAAACATCGTTGTGGCAGACCTGCATGCCACTTCCCTGTCGATGATGGAGTGCAATGTGACAACTGCAATAAGTGGCATCAAAATGTGTGCACCGAACTCACACCGGCTGCATATAGGAGGGAGTCGCAGATGCATGCGCACTTCAGGCAGACTTAAATATTTTGATTAGCTGGTCTAAGGAGTGGCTGATGCCTATCCACTTTTCTGGTCATAGATCATTTTTATCTCTCAGTACTATTGTATCCAGTACCTTTTTTAAAAAGACCTCCGTTTGATGACTGGACAGTGCAACAGAAGCCATTGCCAACGTCCGGGCTGTCGATACCCTGTTGAAAACGGCATGCAGTGCGATGAGTGCAAAGGCTGGTACAACGAGTTGTGAGGCTTCGACAGAGAATGATGCCGAAACCACTCTGGGTGAGGCACGAAGCCATCTAGATAGGCTCCGGATCCGTTACACTGATGCTCAAAGCTTGCTCAATAAGCGATCGGAACTATGTGTACAGATTGACTCTACAATGCCAGACATAATCGCAGTCACAGAAACTCGGTTGACGCAGTCTATGGATAGC